GAGAGGTTTGGAGGGGACCCGTGTGCCCCACAGAGGGTGATGAGGGGGTTTCTGTGCCCCACGGGGGCTGGGGAGGCGGTTGAGGGGTGCCTCGGTGCTTTTCAAGGGGAGAAGTGCTGTGAGGAGCCCCCGCTCCCCTCAGGATGTCCCCGTTCCTCAGGGAAACCTCTGAGCACCTCAGGCACGTGTGGATCTGCTGGGAGAGCCCTGTTCCCCCAGGGAATCTGTGTGTCCCACAGCACTGGGGGTCACCCTGTGTCCCAAAGCACTGGGGGTCACCCTGTGTCCCACAGCACTGGGGGTCACCCTGTGTCCCGCAGCACTGGGGGTCACCCTGTGTCCCACAGCACTGGGGGTCACCCTGTGTCCCAAAGCCCTTGGGGGGTTCTGCTGGGGCTCCTGTTCCCCACAGGGACCCCTGGAGCCCCATAAGTGCCCACGGGGTGAGCGCTGGGAGCAGGGTCCGTCCTGGAGCGGGTGAGCCCCCATGGCTGAGATGTGCCTTCCCCTGGAAGAGGCTGGGGGCCCGGGGAAAGCTTTTCCAGCCAGTCCTGCCTGCTCCTTGGGTCTGAGTTTTAAACGTTCCCGTGTGAGTGCTGGCTCTGTACAGAGCAGCCAGCCAGCCTGACCCCTGAAACCTGATGTCCTCGGAATGCTGCCTCCTTCCAGCAGGGAACGAGCGGCCGTTTATTTGTTTTTCCTAATAACCACTTTCTGCGTGTCAGGGTGGATAATTCCATGTTCCACGGGCTGACCCCGCTGCTGTCAGCAGGACTCCGAGCCGGGCCAGCGCCAGCTCTGTGTCACACTCGCTGCTTTGGACACAAACACGGGCACGGTGAAACCCAGGGGTGGTTCCCGGGAGGGTTTTACTGGGAGTCAGCAGCCTTGTAATGTGCTGGTGAGTCACCTTCCTCCCCTGGCTCACCTGAGACGGAGCCCTCCCGCTTGTCAAGGCTTAATTAGGCCGTGGGTTCATTAAGGCTGTGTCAGACGCTGCTGTGTTTACACTGCGGAGCCCCTCGGTCAGCAGAGCTCAGGGCTGGTGCCTCGGGCTCCCTGCGCGTTCCTTTGTGTCTGGGCAAAGGAAAATTGAGGGGTAGAGAAAACGAAAATACCTCTTTGGTACTCCTGGGGAAATTTCTCATGTTTTCAGTTGTTTCCAGCACTCGGTTTCCAGTGTGAAGCCTGTTTTGTTCTTGCTGCCATGGTGATGTGTAGCCACAAAGGGCTAGTTTTATTTGGAAAATAGATACATGTTGACTGACAGGTGCTCACTAACACGACAAATGCCATTAATGAGCTTTTTTGTGGTTTGGGGGTTGTCAGTACATGATTTCCTTCCACCCACTGCCAGGGGTGCTGCTTTCAGCCAGGCTGAGCTGCCTTTGCTGAGCACAGTGTTTGCCTGTGGCTCCCGGGACACACGGGACCGTTTGTGGCACCCAAGCCCTGCGAGCACAGGATGCTCCTAGAAATCACGGCTTTGGAACAAAAGTGCCCAGTGCTGGCTCATGTTAAAGGCAAACGGGTTGTGATTTCATGGGCTGCTGCAGTCTCAGGGACTGGGGTAAAGTGTTCATTTAGAACCCCAGAATGGACCTTAAAGCCCATCTTGTTCCACCTCCTGCCCTGGGCAGGGACAAATTCCACGTGACCATTGCTCCAAGCCTGGCCTTGAACACTTCGAGGGACAGAACAGACACAGCTTCTCCAGGATCAGAGCCTCACCACCCTCAGAGGGAAGAATTCCTTCCGCATTTCCCTCTGAAGCATCTGTAGCAGATTCCTGAATCCATCTCCTTCGGTTATCCCCATTAGTTTTGAATTTTCACTGGAGCAAATCACCTTTTTCCTTTTCCCCTTTGTTCTCTTTTGTTGCTTCCAGTATACCTTTGGAGGTTGAAGTGCAAATTTGATGGCAGGGCACATTTGCATGCTCTGTTTGCTTCCTTTATTTTCCCATTCCAGCTGGTGAGGAGGAAGAAACAAAGCAGTTTCCAGGCAGCCTTTCCTATGGGTTCTGTGGGGTCGGGAATTCCGTGGTTCCATCAACAAACAAAACCATCCTGGTGTGCAGTGCTGATAATTCTCTTTGCTGGCTCAGATGTGGTTTGAGTGTCACAGAGGGGTGGTTGAGGGCGTGTGGGAGGTGGGATGGTGGTTTGGGGTGCCCTGGGCACTCCCCACACAGAGCTCGATGTTCGGGAGCTGCGTTTGGGGAGGGAGAAGGCTCTGTCTGAGCAATGCCCTTCCTGGTGCGTGCCAGTCACGAGCCTGGGGACGTGAGTGGAAATCCCCCAAGGTCTGTAAGGCTCGGGTTGGCTCTCTGGTGTTGATTAGGGGTTCCTTGGCTTAAGAGGAATTAAGAAGCTGGAATGAAAGGTATGAGGGCGTGGGACGCGTGCAGCTCTGGGGCTGCTGCTCTCGCTCCACTTCAAAGCCGTTGCCCCTGCCAGTGTCAGGAGGAGAGATGAAAGGGCAGAGCAGGGTGGCTGAGCTGTAATATAGGAATGTCATGTTGTGTTTCTGTTTTTTCTCCCTCTTTTTAACCCTTCCTGATCTGGGTTTTAAACCAAATCTTACTAATACCTTTCTGTTTACGATAAGAAATGTTTTCCTTGGCACCTGGGGCCCTGACTGTGACGTCACCATAAGATTAAAGGCTTTCTTTTCCTACACTGTGGGCTGATTTGATTTTTCAGCCATAAGCACCCTCTGCGTTCTCAATTACCGCTGGTTAAAGAAATCTCCTTCTTGCTGCAGGTGGTACAAGCTGCGCTCCAAACCAGGGAAGAAGGAAAAGGAGAGAGGGGAAATCGAGGTGGATATCCAGTTCATGAGGAGTAACATGACAGCCAGCATGTTTGATCTGTCCATGAAGGACAAGCCCCGCTCTCCCTTTGGGAAGCTCAAAGACAAGCTCAAGGGCAAGAGGAGCAGTGGCCTCTCGGACACGGCTTCGGCCATCATCCCCAGCACCTCCCACTCCCCTGCCGACAGCGAGGATGAGGCAATTGAGAAGGAGAAGAAGAAATCCAAGTTCAAAGCGCTGTTCTCCAAGCCTGGCCTGCAGAAGACATCCCTGTCCCAGTCCATGTCTGTGCTGCCCACTCAGCAGCCCCTCACCCAGAGGGTTCGGCTGCGGCCCAGCGACTTCCAGGCACAGTGGGATGAGGAGGAGTCTGAGACCTCTCCTGCCTCAGAACGTGAGTATTGGCACAAAACCTTCCTCCAAAGGGTTGCTTACACTTTTCACAGCATTGGTTAAATTCTTCTTTCTGCACAAATCCATGGAAAGTCCCTCTTGGCACTGATGCTGTCAGTATAGTGTCAGAGAAAAGGTTGTTTTTGCATCTTGAATTTCTCTCTTTTTTTTTTCACAGGATCCTTTGAAAATGCGTTGGAAGAGAAGCCAGCTCCTTCTCCATTGTTTAAATCTCGTAAACCAGCCTTTTTGGACAGTAGGCAGCTAAGCCAAGGAATCTCTAACCACACCAAAAAGGATGGGCTCTCTTTGTTCAGTGGCCTGAAATCCAAAAGCGATCCTGTGTCCAAGTCTAGTCTGTGCATCAATGGCAGTCACGTCTATATGGAAGAGACCACAACCAAGGACAAGACTCCAACCTCCTCCCCCTCTCCTCACAACCTCAGGAGGAAGCAGCTCTTTGCTTCAGAGGAGAACCTGTCCTCCAGGCCCACTAAATCACCTGAAGAGATGGGAAGAACCTCTCCTGGTCAGGCTGTCTCCGGGTCCACATCCTTGGAGACCTTCAAATCCATGACTTTGCCGTCATACAAACTGCTCAGCAGTGAGGAGCACCTGGACACCAGCATTCCACCAAGCATAGAGGCTGCTAGAGAGACAAAAAAAACAGACCACAAAAAGTCTGCCTTGCTCTCCCTGGTCACTGGAAAGAAGGAAACGGTGAAGACCAGTGATGCTGAGATTATTCCTGACAGGACCCTGCAGAGTGAGGAAAATACAATTCCAGAAGAGAAGAGTGAAGAGGAGGCCAAATGCCCTGAAGTCCCAGCAGATTTGGGCAGAGGGAGCCCGTCAGGAGATGCTCACCATGCAGAGGTGGAGGAGGCCATCACAAACAAGCAGCTGCTCAGCCCTTTTGAGGAGGAACGGAAACCTGAGAAAGCTGCGCCAGCCAAGACCAAAGCTGTGAAACCCAGGTAAGTCCCAGCTGCTGGCAGGAGTTGGGATGGGCAGTGGTGGTGGCAGGTGGCAGCAGGCTGTGTCCTGCCACACCTGGGCTCAGGTGCTGCTCTGAGGGTACCTGGTGTTGGGTGCTGTGACAAATAACAACTCCCGAGTTCTTCCTCAGCAGGAAAAATGATGGATGTGGGGATGCTCTTCATAAGCAGTGCTGAAATAGGGGTTGTCTAGCACAGGCACCTGTGGGGTGATTTTTCTTGCTGGATCTCTTGCACAAACTAACTCTGTCTGACCTGTGTGGCTGCAGCCTCCCCAGGGTCTGGAATGCCTGTTCTAACATCTCTGCTTTCCTCTTCCCTACTTGGCTGTGGTCTTCCAAAGGGTGGCCTTGGAGCCCTTCTGCTTTTGGCATCGTTCACAGCAGCACAGAGGGATGTTGTGTGGATTTGTACACAAGGCTTTTTCGGAAATTCTGCTCCTTTATCCTCCATACACGTATATATATAAATTGTGTTTGGGTTTAAGTGTGTCCTACTAATACGGCTGTGTTTTGTGTGTGTCCCTAACTCCTCATTTTCAGTGCTTCTCAAGTTTCAGTTTCTTGCCTGTGCAGTGTTTTACATACTAATAAACCTGCTTGGGGTGCAGAAAGACGGAGCTTAAAGCAGCAAAAACAAGCTCTGCAGCAGAAGAGTTCTGACATGAGCCCAGTGTTTGGTAAAGGTGCAGTTAAGGATATCAGGTCTCACGGACCTCTCTGAGGTCTCTTTACAGTATAGCTCATCTCCAGTGGCAGAGCTGATGGAGGCTGCTGCTCAAGCTTGTCTGTTCCTGCCTCGTGTTGCATCCGCAAGTGACATGCGAGTTTTTTGTCCCTTTTTGCAGACTGGGCCTGTCTCCAGAGGAGGAACCCAAAGCCACGCTTCCCACTCTTGCACCTGACCCCCTCCCTGCTTTTCTCTCTGTGCACCGTGTCAGCAGTGCAAATAATCCTTTCATTTCTAAAGTGGGGCAGACAGTCCAAGTGCCAGACTCTGAAAACATCACTAGTTCTCCTGCCTCTCTCACTCCTCCTGCGTTAGCTGCAGAGCTTTGGAATGACAAGAACCCTTTTACTCCTGGATGGGACAGGGCATCCAGAGCCCTGGATCCCAGCAGCGCCGCCCGTTTCCCTTCATCCCATCACCCTGCAGCCTCCGTTCCCAAAGCACCTCTGGCTGGGCAGGTCTCTGCTAGGGTCAATAATCCTTTTGCTGCTGACTGGGGCCAGGCTCCTGGGGACTCTGGCATGGGGGCTTCCCGGGGTCTCTCTGACCCACCCACACCTTCTGTCCCCTCTGACTGTCGTTTCAATGACAACAATCCCTTCGTGTCCAAGCGTGGGGGACAGGCAGTGCCAGGTGTCCAGGCTGTTGCTGGTTCTTCCCCTTCTTGCCTTTCTGGTGGTGAGGACTGTTCCTCTGCAGGACACCCTGCCCGTGGTGCTTCAGGGGGCTCTGTGGAAGTGGCTGTAACCAGTGATGTCACAGCTGTGCCAGATCCTCTCAGCACCTTGTCTGCCCCCCCTCCTGCCCCCCCTGGGCTGGCTCCAGAGCTGCACTGTGATTCTGCCCGGCTTCAGCCTGAGGATTCTTTGGAAAGCAGCGAGCCAGGCAACGGGAGATCTGTGTCCTTTGTCCTTGGGGGATGGCAGGGTGTTCCATCAGCTGATGCGGGTTTGGGTGGGCAGGAAGGTGGAGAGCAGCACCTGGACTCCAGGGGAAGGTTACAGATGGCTTCAGGGGCAGCAGGAGGGCGAGCAGGGCTTGGGGATGAGCTGGGAGCAGGGGGTGACCCATCGACAGAACTCTGTGGGGACAGCACACATCCCACCTGGAACAGTGATGGAACAGCTGTGGAGGTCACTGGTGTGAGCACTGAGCCCTGCACCAAGGCTGACAGAGGTTTTGTGTCTCTCTCCAAGTCCAGTGTCAGCCTCGTGCCAGAGGCTGACCAGGCACCGTTCCCTGAGAGCGAGCTCAGGGAGGAGCAGGAGCCCTGCAGTGGAAAGCAGTGGGCAGAATGTGTGCCCATGTTAGAGCCCCAGGCACCTCCACCTGCTGGAAATGAGTCACTTTCTCAAGTCCAGCCAATCCTGAGAGCCTGCACAGTGTCCCCTCAGGAAGTGGGTTCAGGGAGGGAAGGTAGCGAGATCCTTGTCCCCCCAAAGCCAGCCCCACGACTGGCTGTACTGCTGAGGAAATCCCCACCGACTTCCCAGGCTGAGCTGAGGGGTGATGTTCCTGCTTCAGGTGATGTAAAATCCACACCAGGGCTCCCTGGAGCCTCAGCTGTTCGTGGGTGCCTCCCTCAAGGTGGCTCCTTGGAGACTGTCACCCCTCCAGTGACAGCCAGGGGTGACAGCAGTGACAGGCCTTTAGAAAAGGAAGGTGACAATGATTTCTCTGTCCGTCTCACAAATGTCAGGTCTCTCATGGCTGCTCCCGGAGGCTGGAGCTCAGCACTGGCCAGTCTTCCAGTGATCCCAGAGGGAGGCTCTGATGATGAGCTGCTGGGGGACTGTCAGGAGAGCTGTGGGGTCACTGCAGGGGACAAAGGGGTTTTAGGGACTGGAGAGCAGCCCCGAGGTTTGACACCTTTGCATGGAGAATCAAGAGAGCAGCCGGTGATCCTGGCTGCTCCAGGAGGAGGAGGAGGAGCTATTCCTGGTGCTTGTCAGCCAGGGAGTTTGGCTGTGCTGCCCGCTGCAGTGGGTGCTCCCAGGGTCTGTGTCCAGGGAGCTGATTCAAGCTTAGGTGTGACACCTCATTCTAGGGAGTGTGACAGTCATATTGAGAAACAAGAGCTGGAAAAGAGTGCAGGTGTTGAGGAGCGTGCAGAGTGTGAGTTCTCTGAGCCTTCTGCTTTCTCTCCCTCCCTGTCAAGTCCTTGCCAGCCCTACTCTTCCTCTCATTCCCTTCTCTCTGACACCCCAAGTCGTAGAGCAGAGTCTCCGAAAAAGCCAACAGCCGAGGGCTTCGCAGATAAAGCGGGAAATTCGGGCAAGAAGAAACTTCTCCAGGCACGGGTTTCACCCTCTGAAACGTTCCCTAACCAAACCCCATGGGGTGGTGAAACCGTGTCTCCCAAGCACAGGTGAGACCATGTGGGGATCACAGCAGGTACCTCTGTGCAGGTGTGAGCTTTGCTTTGCTCTCTGGGTGCAGATCTGTCCCTCTGGCTGCTGGATCTGACCGGGACTGCACAGCCCTGGCTTCCTCTGGGACCTGCATTTGTCAGGGCTTGGGTGCTGTCAGCCAGTGTGGGGTTGCTGCTGGCTCCAGGAGGATCTGTGCAGCTCCTCAGGGTGCCCAGGGGAGCAGCTGCTCATCACAGCTCTCAGGGGCAGTGCAGGTGGAATGGAGCCATTTCATCCCATTGGCAGAATGGCCTGGGACTGAGATGTGTGTGAGACACGGGAGAAAGGTCATCCTGAGAAAGGGGATGCTTCATTCCCTGCCTGGACTGAGCTCCTCAGGGATCACCACTGATGCAGCTCAGGCTGCTCCTGCTGTGTGGGAGTGCTGCCACTGACATGTCAGCCCTCAAGACTTCACCTGCAGAGCTCTGCCTGGGGTTTAGGACACCTCTGGGCCAGCATTTGCTGAAAGAAGGAAAATTTTCTTCCTGTATTAAAATTGGTACTGTGAGTCCTGCTCAGCTTGTGGTGTCAGTTCAGACTGGACAAAGCCTAACACTTGTCTCAGGACAGAAGAAGTATTTGATATGTTGTAAGATCACAAATATGTTCTGATTAGGAAAGTCAGGCTGAAATACCAGTTCCTGAGGGATCAGAGTAGCTGCCCTGTGTTCTGTCTCCTCGTGTAGCCTGACCTGCCTTTTCTTCCATGACACACACAGGATGTATTTCCCTTCCTGCTCCTGCTTTATCTCCAATGCCTTAAGTCAATAAAGATAGTAGAGAACTGGAAAATACTTACAAAACCCCTGTGGCTTAGAAATACCTTGTCTTCCTGAAGCTGAATCTCTTTTCTCTCAGGAGATAGAGCAGGGAGGGAATCATCCCCAGTTTCTTGCTGTATTTGTTCTTAGTCTAAAGATCTGTGTCATGCTGCTGTTACATCTTCTGCCTAAACAACAGGAACCTTTTTTCTCCTGTTGCAGACTCCATCCTGTGAAGCCAATGAATGCCATGGCAAGCAAGCCTCAGAGCAAGAACCTGAATGTCATCAGCACCATGAACGAAAAGCTGCTGGAAATGAGTGTGAAGGTATGGAGGGAAGTGGCACTTTCACTGCCCAAGCTTTGATTTAATTAAAGAGTTTGTGTATTCCAGGTAGTTGGGACATGAACTTCCTTTTGGTCAGCCCCCAAGCAAGGGAACAGTCCTTAAATGCTTATTTTCTTGCAGAGTGATCTAAAGTAGAGGTGGGGCTCATGCTTTGTGGAGGTTCTCAGGCACAACCGCTTCCTTGGAGCACAGTCGTGCAGTTGGGACCAGCAGTGGGATTGAGAGGAGCTTTCAGCATAATCCTGGCCTCAAAAGAGACCTCCAGGCTTCAGGCACAGCTTGCCTGCCACGTTGATCCCAAAGGCTGGGAGCATCCCTGGCTCAGCAGGGAAAATCACAGCTCCCCTTGTTGCCTGAGAGGGTTTTTAGGGGAAATAGAGAAGTTAGAGCTGAAATAACAGCAGTGCTGCCTCCTGGTGTGAGTGATTCAAACTGACACGCTGCTCTTTCAAGGGGGTTGAAAACTTGCAGTGGGTGTTGTGGTGTTCTGCTTCCACGTAAACTGTGTGTGATGCCCCACAGGAGGCTGTTGTGCTCACACTCCCTGCCTGGGCAGCGTTCTGGGAGCAGCAGGAATCAGCAGAAGCTGCCCAGTACCTCTCACGCTGTTTAAGGGTTCAAAACAGACTTTCCAAAGAAATAGGAAGAAACAGCAAAGCTCTGGGCGGGCATTTCTTGCTGTTTAACCCGAATTTGACTATACCAGTCTGCATTTAGGCAGCCAATGTAAGCTTTACCAGGTTTGTTTAAGCAGCAGCTGTCAGTGTGCTGGTCTGTGTGTTCTGCTGCTGGTTTGGAATGTCCTGTGTCTGCTCTGACCCTGCCTTCCCTCCCTCCCTCCCCAAGAAATATGATCCCTCAGACCCTGCCTATGCCTATGCTCAGCTGACACACGATGAGCTGATCCAGCTGGTGCTGAAACAGAAGGATACCATTACCAGGAAGGACCTCCAGGTGCGGGAGCTCGAGGACTACATCGACAACCTGCTTGTCAGAGTCATGGAAGAAACCCCAAACATCCTCCGTGTTTCCATGTCCGGCAACAGAAAAGCTGGGAAGATGTGAAGGGTCTGTGGGTGTCGGTGAACAAGGACTGAATTCCCCCAGAGGAGGGTGAGGAGCTGGTGGTGCCGGTTGTGCTGCTCACACAAAATGACCTTTTTCCTGTTTCTGCCTTGAGCAACTCTTGGAGTGATTAATAGTTCCATCAGGTGTTGTAATGAAGTCACCTTATCATATTTATTTTTTGTTTTCTTCCCATTCTTTGGGAAGATCAGGCATTAATCCAAAGGCTAGTTGTGATGGGAAGGAGGAGGGTTTTTGATGTGTTTTGCTTCCCAGCAAGGCGCTGATGATCCTTGAGGAAGATTTTTTAAAATTGTTTTATTTTGTAGCAGCTTTGATAGATCAGTTACTTTTCTTTCCACATCTGAAGTTGTAGTGCAATATAAATCCTTGTACAGTAGAGTTCGAGGATTTGATTGTTTTTAAAATAATAATTAGCTACACTGGAGAAGTCCAAAGATGTCCCAGCTTCAGGCCTGGGCTGTAATTTAAAAGGAATTAATTGAAAGTTGACCATAAGTTGACCAAATCTCAGTTCATCTCCCCACGTGGATATTCCCAAGAGTCGTTCAAGGGAAAGTTTACAGGTTTTTAGGAGGAGACATTGAGGTTCACAGGACGTTTCTACCATAGGAATGGAATCAATCAGTTTGGGCCAAAGGTACATTTTAAATCAGAAGTTGTTCTCTTAGTGTCTTAAAATTTCTGCTCTGGAGGTTGTTCAAAGGAGGCAGAGGCTCCCCTGGCTCTGCCCCATGCTCTGGAGCAGGTCTGGCTCTCACATCTTTGTGGGAGTTGTGTGACCATTTTCTTTTTACCCTGCATTCAGGAAACAGAAATACGTTGTGTTTTGGAGCTGGGGCTCACCTTGAAGGGCCCTGCAAGGTGATCAGTCTTGCAGTGCTTTTTCCTGTCACTCCAGAGAGGGGAGGGAGTGCTGGGGCTCCCACCTGCTCTGGTTCCTTGCTGCTTACAGTGTAGCTGAGACACTGCAAACCTCCCTGGGTGTCTGCAGGGATGTTCTCCCCATTGTCAGCCAGCAGGAACAGCTCACTGCAGACCTCCCTGGGTGGCTGGGCGGCTCCAGGGATGTTCTCCCCATCATTAGCCAGTGGGAACAGCTCACTGCAGACCTCCCTGGGTGTCTGGGTGGCTGCAGGGATGTTCTCCCCCTCATTGCTGCTGAGCTGCCACCACAGCTGCCCCTGCTGGAATCTACAGGGGGCTTTATTTTGGTGAGCTCTTGGCAAAGATCAAAACAATCAGATGCCTTTCTGCACCTCTGGGATTTACCAGGGTAGACAGAGTCCGTAAAAGGCTTAGAGGGAGGTTGGAAAGAGCAGGAAGCAAAGGACCAAAGCTTCATAAGGACCAAAGCTTAAAACTTTCCAGCCTTAATTCTTTGGAAATAAACACTCCTGCCTTTGGAAATTGTTGGGGTTTTGGGTTACTCCTGGCTCAGGGGTGAGTTCCTAACTCGGTTTTTCTACAGCAAAGCACTTTATTGAGGGACTGGAGCAGCTGGATGGACTCTCACCTGTGAGCAGTCTGCTTACAATTGTCATAAACCACTGGAAACTACTGGAGATCTCAAATACTGTATTTCTTTAGGGAGGAGCAGCTTAATTTATTTGCACGGAGATGTAAACATTTATTAGAAAAAGTCCAAAAAACGCTGTTAATAACATTTTTATTCTGACCTATTGCTGCTACCAAAGTCTGGAACTTTCCTGGCAGAGCTGTATCTCACGGGCAGCCTGACCTCAAACCAGCCTTAGGAGCTGAGAGTCTTGCAAGACTTCAGGTACTTTTATCTCATTTTAGTGTTACTTGAGCAGCGAGGGCCTTCTCTCTTCTCTCCTGTGCCCTGTGCTCTGAATGAAGGCTCTGAAGCTGGCCTTGGTGGAGGTGCTGGTTTGATTCTGGGTGCTGCTGCTGCCTCTCGTGCCTTCTCGAGCGAGGAAGATGAAGGATTGATTTGTTTCCTCCTCGTGCCTCTGTGGATCTCTGGACAGAGGATCCCACACCTCTGATAAACTTGCATTTTAGACTGTCTTCCACTGGGAAGTGTGACCTGCACAGAACCAAAGCAATAAATAATATTAACAGAGATAAAGCCTTAAAACTTGGAGTAGGCTCCCCTGGCAGCCGTTTTGTGCCCTGGGGTTGTTCTCTCCCTTGGGTGGCCGCGCTGGGGCATCCTCATCCTCACCTTCCTCAGCCCCAAAAGCATCACCCCACCCTCATAACTCCATTCTATTGGCAATACTCGTTAAAGCCTTCCTTTGGTGTGAGGGATGGGCATTTTACATCCTCCAGGGCCTTAAGAATCAAATATTTTATTTTATTATTGAAGGATCTGAGTGCATGTTCCCTGTTTTTACTCTCTGCTTTTAGCCCAGAGTTACTGTTTGTTTTTAAACAGCTTTTGCCTTTATGGAACACTAAAATAAAAACACCTTAAAGCCGGTGTTGTGATCCCTGTGTCTTTGTTCTGAAAGAGCAGTTTCCAAAGGGCCTCGTCCCCTCCTGGTGCCCCGCTCATCCTCCAGGTGTTTGGGGCTGGTTTCATCCCTGCAGCGATCGATCCCTGCGGGAATTTCCTGCTCAACACCTCACGGGGTGGGGAACCGGGCCGTGACCGGGGGAGAGACTCCGTGACCGGGGGAGAGACCCCGGGCCCGCAGCGCTCCCGGGCCCCGCCGCTGCTCCCGGAGGCCGCCGAGCGCGGAGATCGCCCTGATCCTCCACAGCGCTGGGCCCGGGGCCTCCGAGCCGCGGTGATGTGCGGTTCCACGCCGAGGAG